ATGGTGCACAGGATCCAACATCTTCAAGGCAGAGTCCCTAGCTGAACTGTAAACCATACACCCATAGTCCAGCTTTGATCATATGAGAGCATGATAGATCTGGAGCATGGAACATTTATCTGTACCCCAAAAGGTGGAAGAGAGGATGTACCGCACCCTTATACACTTGACACTCTTAGTTACCATGGGAAGAACATCACCACTAAGATGGAGCTATGGATCAGGACGCAAACCCTGCTGGTGTAATAAAATGTATGCAAATGATCTTAGATGAAGAGAAGGTAAAAACATTTGCCATGGTCCACCCCAACAAGTGAGTGAGAGCAGTCTGAAGCTGCATCTTAAACCTCATGTTCGACAATCAACAATAAATGTGAAAGTTGTCGACATAGATGTTGTTTGCAACAGTAAAAGGAATTGTTTCAGTCAGCATTGATCTTAATACTAAAAAGCGTGACACTCAAGACATAGCCCTGAAGGATGCCAAGTTCCTGTGTGAAGGATTGGGACAGGGTCGAACCCACACAGACTTGGAAACGCTGATCTATTAAAAATCATTGAATAAAAATAAATGGCCACACACCCCATATGAATGGAGGTCATGCAAAATGCCAAACCTCCATGTAGTGTCATGTCTTCTCAAGATCAAATAAGATAGAAACAAGATATTCTATCTTGAGGAAGGCTTCCCTGATCAAGGCTTCAAGATGAATCAGGTGGTCCACAGTGGCACACCATTTATGAAAACCATGTTTGGGGGAGAGAAGGTTGTTTGATTCAACAAACCAAAGACGACAAGCATTAACCATCCTCTCCAAAACCTTACAGAGACAGTTAGTTAAAGCAATTGGACGATAATTAAAAGAAATCATGGGATCCTTCCCAGGCTCTGAAAAAGGGATGACAATAACTTTGTGCCAAGCATCAGGAAAAACATTCTCCTGCCAAACATGGTCAAACATAACCAGAAGAAAAGCAAGAATGATGGCACAATATCTCGTAGTGAACATCATCAGGTCCAACTGATGTACTGGCTGACTGACGAAGAGCAAGTTTAAGTTCCATCAGTGTAAATGGACTATTATAATCATAGAAATGAAAGTGGCGATCTCTCCACCTGTGACTTGGTGGCCAAGAAGGCTAGGCAAGAAATGGAAGTGCTGAAAAGGTAGGAAAAGCTCTATCCACGAGTATCAGCAATGCCCCATACATCAACAACTTCCTGACCATTGGAAAGAGGAGGAGAAGCATACTTCCACTGACCTTCCGAACCTTCTCCCAGACGAACTTTGAACTGGTGGTAGAAGAGATGCTAGTAGTGAACTTAATCCAAGATTCCTTCTGGCTCTGACCAGCCAGGCACAGGCATGAGCCTGTTGGAAAGCAATGCGATTGGAAAGAGTGAGATATCTGCAAAAGATATCCCAGGCCCATTTCTGAAAACAAGGGCTTTTATTTTATACACTATAATATTTTTTGTGATTAGGAGGCATCAAGGAGATTATGTCAAAGTAAATGCTTTCCTTCAATATCTGCTATTTACTATAACCTTTATGAGTATTACTGTATCAGATCAGGCAATATATGAAGTCAGATAAAAATATGGATCCACAAAAATGGGGGTGGATTGCTTGTGGTGACCAAATGATGATTAAACATTCAAATGAACCACCTGCATCAGAGTTGCTGCTTAATGTAATTGAATGTAGTTGCAAAGCAAGTTTTTCAAATCTAAAATGTAGTTGCATAAAGCATGGGATTCTGTCTTCACTAATATGCAACATATTGTCCTCCCAATGTGCAGAGGCCATTGCTAGATATGCCTTCCATGCTACTGGTGCAGATCACCTACATAGACAGCCAGGGTCTAAGTACTAATCCACTTCTGAGCTTTGAACTTCGCTGATACTCCAGCGGGTCAAACCAGTAATGCTGCTTGTACATGTTTCAGTTATCCTACTACTCCTCATCCAGGTGTGCAACAGTATTTAGGCCAGACTATCTAAGCTCAGGACCAAGTGTTGAAAAGTCTGTTCTTGAGTCCATTTAATCCAGCCAGTGACCTGCAAGAAACACTGTAGGAACTGGTCCAGGTTCTATTTCACTGTCCCTAAAATTGAGGGTATGACATGTTCGGCCTTACTCATAGGGACCTACACAGCTGGCCACAGCCTCTCCTTCAAAAGATGCTAGCACCCATGCTAGGATGAGCTACTGCTGATTTCATCAGATCTGGATGGAAGCTGCATATGGTTTCAAGTTTCTAATAAATATGTTCAACTTGCATTAACTAATTCCCTTTGCTACATTGATGCTCTTTTTACTAGAAAAGTCTCAACACAAATTTTTCCTATTCAAATAGTAATTTTCCATGGACATTCATTACATTTACTGGCCTAGTGACTACTAAACCTATAACTTGAAAATTATTTATTCTTTTTTAATTTTACATCTAGACACCAAAAAGATTTTAATAAATTTGATAAGAAAAAATATATAGGATAACTTCAACAAACTGGCATATATCTATATATCAAAAACATGTTTTGTGTAAATTGCTGAATATTAATAACGTCTTGAAAAATTACAACTGAAAAATTAATTTATTTCAAAGAGAACATAAAATACAAACACTAGAAAAAATAACCTTATTCCTGTTGGGATAAATATAATCTTACAAGAGAAATATTTTAGTATGAGAAAAGAAAGAGGTGACTTATTACAGAAGTACAGAAATTATTTAACTATAAAATGATCCAAATTTGGCTTATAAAAGTGTTCATGTCAATTGCTCTTCAATGAAAATTAGTCAAAAATATGTATAGCACTAACACAAATAATGTTTCAGTACAAAACTGGCTGAACCTTTAAATTAACTTGTTTAGACAAATTACTATGATAAAAACAAAGTTTCACTTCAATACAAAAAACACCAATAAAGTATTTTGTGAAATTTTAAACTTTAAATAATATTATGAAGAGAGAATCTTTGCAATACAGAACTGGCCTACTGTTTATGATACACATTTAAGATGATAAAAAGAAGTCTGTAATACAAATAGTTTTTAGCCCAATGAGGTTAGCACCATCTACTGGCAACTAAATCAACTTATGGTACAAATATTTTTAAATGTGGACAATAAATTACCATACAAAAGAAATAAGGTTTGCAGTACTTAAAACCAATACTCAGTAAACACGTCTATGAAAGAATTTGAGCTTTTTCGAAACTCTACAGAATTTTAATAATTTTATTACAATGATTTATACCTTTTTGGTAAATAAGGAAGCAATCAAAGCTAAACTTCATGACAAGTTTCTTAACAGAGCAACAAATCTTTAGTAAAGCTTCATATAAAAAACAGGGACAGTTAAAGACCATTAAACAAAACGCCTAATATACCTAATAAAAAAGAAAATTAAACTTTTTTATTTTTGATTTACTGTTGAATAAGTTTCATGTGGGTTAACAGTCCAAAAGTAACCATGAAATATTTTTCGATTTGCAAAGACTTGACCTCACTGAGAAGATCTTGGAGGGGAGCATGTGATTTCAACTTTGTACTTAAATTAGGAAAAACATGAAGCTATGGGTATAAGAAATAATGTTTTGCAGTCTTTGAGTCTGCATAATTATGAGTGAACTATCAAGATATCTTATTATCATATAGCACTTCTATACTGAGGAACTGACTACATTTGCATTTTTTACTGCATAATTCAACAATATGCTCCCACTATCATCATATAATTTATGATAAAACTATTTCTTTTTTATACATAAGATTTATTTTATTTTGATACTATCTAAATCTTGTACAGAGGCAAAACGTGGACCACAACTGCATTTCTCTTTCTACACAATTTTTTTTGTTTTTTAATTTGAAATAACATCTATACAGACTAGGTTTCAGATACAGTTTTTGTGGTGATCTCCTAGCCCAGTTCTGAACAACAGTAAAAAAAAGGTTAATTACTCATGCAGAATTATTAGCACTTCTAATACCATTGTAATGTGTAATATTGTGAACAGATTTTTGGCTAGCTTACTGTAATGTACTCTAAATATCACTTGAGTATTTCAGAGTAAGCAAAAAAAGAAAAAAAATCAAGGGAAAAGTAGCTACAACATTTATCTACATAAAATGCTCAAGAAATCTTATTATCTGAAAAATCCCACTTTTGTTTTTATATTAATACAATTAATAACATTTGAATATTTGTATTTTTAATTCACTACAAAATTCATCATACCTATATCTTAGTAGAATGTAATATTTGTTCAACAATATTTATATGCACACACATACACACTTCAGTTAGCTATACTATTGCTCCAGAGGAAAGAAGTTTTCCAGACTTCCAAGAAATTGGCATTGATGTTCTCATGATGTAAAGAAATGAAACACAAATATATGTCACTTCAATCAGCCAACAAAACATATTAAAACATGCTTCGAAGTTAGTAGTTTAACTCTATTCATGAAAAAATATATATAAACGGAAAAGGCTATTTCCTAGTGCTTGATTCAAAATTTTAGCTTACCTATATATTATACACTAATACCAAACATAGCTAAACATCTTATGTTTATATATCCAAAGAGAAAATAATTTTTGCTTTAATTTAGTCTAAAATACACATCATCATATATTTATGGCACTTTTTTATATATAATTTATAAAATCAGCACTTAATTATTTCATATAGCTAAATTTAATTCAGTGTTATTTTTGCCCTTAAGTGCTAATATTTTCCAATTTTTCAACTAATTTTAATAGGATAAAAGTTGAGAAAACTATTTACACATGGTAAGGAACCAATGCATGCTATTCTAACAGTCTACACTATATTCAGCAATGGCAAAGAACTAGTTGCAAGTAAAATATCATTTTCTACACTATTGCATGAACTTGACATCCAAGTACAGTATCTCAATATTTAAGTTCATCATTACATTAGTAAAAGATTTCTATCAACACATTATAAGAAAGGAACAATTATTTTTCTCTGAATACCAGAATTCAAAAAAATGATAAACAAAACAAAAAGACATCTATATAAAAAAAATCTCAGTAGGAAAGAAGGTGTGAGAGCAAACTGTTGCCTTCAAATCAAAAGGTTTTGTAAAGTTGAAGTTTAAGATGATACATTTACTGAATTTGTATTTTACAAAACAATATCACAAAAATTGTAACAAAAAAAAGTCTCAATGGTCTTCTTATACATACATCAGAAAAATAACAGTAAACCAAAATACTTCTAAGGAAAGACTAAAGACTGCAACAAAATGATTAACTAAATTTCTGATCACAACTTCTATCACAAAATAAGACATTCATCTCATGACGCTAGGCTTTTGTACTATATGGAGTAACTACATGATAGAGCAGGCGTTTTTCACCTATCAAATTCAAATGACAATGATGATACTGAGGTAGGACTACTTTTTAAACTATCTGAAGAATCAGTTTCACTTGGTTGAGCTACCTTTTTTATCACAGAGGTTTTTTCTGTTGAATTCCTTTCTTCAGCTTCTAAAAGCCTGAAATTTGTGAAGTTAATTAGTGAAAGCTTGAATAAATCATGTTCATACTATTGCATCTGATGTTATCTAAAACTAAAATACCATACTAATTCATGCACTATTATAAAACTGTTTAAATTTACTTTCTACATAAGCTTCTAAAATATTATAATTGGATAGGTCTGTGTGGAAAAAACACAAAGATGTGTGCTATTTATTTTTAAAGCCATCCAGCATATCCAAATAATTTGAGTGTTAATAGCATATATGTATCTTAACTAATAGCCATTAAATGCAAGTGAAGTTGATGCACCCCTGATATACTTGTACATTTAGTTACATTTTTACAACTAGTGAAATAAATAATCTAATTTATGACTGCTTATTAATTTATTATCAAATGACCTGCAGTTTTCTCAGCTGCAAAATCATAGAAATGAAAAGCAAGATACCCAGTGTAGTCTACAAGTCTAGTGCTGGCAATAATATAAATCAGGCCATTGTAGGCCTAAGGCACAAAGTTTAGAAGTGAAGAAAAAAAAAAAAAGATATTTGGATATGGTTTAGGTTCTGGAGTATATGGTTACGAGTGGTCATAGTAGAAATAAGTTTGAGGTGGTATTACATATGGAGATGAATTTTGGTTCAAAATCTTGGGAATGCTAATTTTAGGAAAGAAAACAAATTTATACTGATAAATTGGAATACTGAGGTAAAGGAGATGCTTGTCAGATGTGGAAGGTTTATAAAAATAGGTAGTTAATTATTTAACCTACTTTTATTCCACAGAGAAAAAAAAGTGTGGCTGCAAGTAACATAGCAGTATTACTCACTAGTTTTAAAGGATTTCTTTAAATATGTTATATGTAAAGAATGTTAAAATGGGGATTGGAGAGATTATTGTCTCTTTGTACAGGTCTTTTGTACTTGTTTAGTGCATAGTTTTAGGTGTTGGGATTCTTACTTTAAGAATTATATTGAGCTGTTGGAAAGTTTCAAAGGAGGGCTACTAGGATGATTGCTAGAAAGGCTGTCATATGAGGACAGGTTAAGGTCCTTAAGATTAATTCCTTTTCAGAAAGAAATGATTAGAGGGTATATGTTTAAAATGTTCAAACTATAAAGGGAATATTTAGAATTGATACTTCCAGTTTTTAATGGTAAGAGTGGTAGGACTAGGGTCATAGATTTAAGATTTGGCAGGGTAGAAGTCATCTGCAAATTAGGCAGTTTTACTTTTCACACAGGGTAGTGAATGCTGGATATAAGCAGATGGATGTTTGATAAAATGAATAGGATAACCACAATGGGCCTCTTGTTGTCTGTCAAATGTTAATTTTCATTTTTGTATTCACTAGCCAGTTTTGTTACTTGATCAGCTACATATTTACGTTTCTGGGATCAATATAAATCTTTATTTTATACACTGTCACAGTGAATTGAATTCCATTTTATTGGTGGTAAAAAATAATTCATATTCTGTTCTTACCTCAACATAATCTCAATACATGGACTCAACTCTTCACTGGTGTAATAGGTAAGCTTCTGAAGAAATCTTGGCCATGCTGGAGAGATGAGCAGACACATGCGTGTAGCTGCAATAATAGCTGCTGCAACCATGGAGGGTGGAAACTGTAAGAACGTGTGATCTACAAAGCAAAATTTACAAGCAACTGCTAGCCTCATAAGTTTGTTCTCTTCAAAAAATCACACATGCAAATTAACAGTATATGTTGTATTTAATATACGCTTTTCTCCTATTATTTCTAATGGTTTCAGTTAACTTTATTTTACCACATAGATTAAACTTATAATCATGCATATTCATACTTATGTTTAAACTAACAAACTATTAAAATTAAATGTTGTGAGAAATGGGATTGTGCTAAAGTTCTATCTCTACTGCAAATCAATGATATAAATTACCAAACTTCCAGGAAAAAATATTTTCACTAACAAAATAAAACTACCTCGAATGGAAAGATCCAAAAAGTAATCATTGTAATGCTGAGCACAGACACGTGCTTTTGGCAATGCTGGCAGAGGTTGACCTGCATGAAAGTCTGTTGTGCAAACACAATAGTGTTCATAGTACTCAACAAAATGAGCAGTTGTGGGAACCATCAAATCCCAGTGGAAGAATTCTACTAGAGCAAGTTCCATTTGTACAAATTCATGAAGATTATACAGGTTATCAACAGTCTGATTTAGCTCACTTGTTTTGGGGATCAAGCTGTCCTTCTCTTCAAATTTAGCTGAAATAAAACTTTTTTTATGAATATATAAAATAACATTTGCAGGAAAACTACATAATGAAAAAAAAATATGTATTTGTAAAATAGAAATAATTTTTTATCTAATTTTTGATATCTAATAGCATCCACTAATTCTTTGGCAAGAGCTACTTGCACTCAGAAACAAACTAGTGTAACAAAGTGCATAAAACTTGTCATATTATCCCTTTCCTGATCATGCATTTTGTATTCTCAGGAATTTTATATTTAATTGATTAATTGCCACAGTTTCCAAACTATTTCCAGTTCCAAACCCATCTCAGACATCCCAAATCTATGCCTCTTCATCTGTTCAAAAATGTATTTCAATAGGTCCATTCAGCTTTGTTTGCTACATATGAATTTTTTTCCCACCATACTCTAACCCCACCAGAGCCTCACATGACCTCAGGTTTGGGAAACACCGATTTATTGTATAAATGGCATCATTGAATTACTGTGAAAAAGACTTCTCAAAGTACATCCATATAGTTCCTGGGAATAGAAATAGCAAATATATCAAGTACAAACCTATGGGAACAAGGAGTTAGAAAAACAGGTAACCGAATTGATGGTTGTTTCTTTTTCTTTTATAAAATAAAACCTCACAATTTTTATTTATTTAATAAATTAAAAGAGAAAACATTAAATACCATTATTTTAGTGAACTTAAAAATCTTTTATAGCTTCCCAAATTAAAAAAAAATGTCTTCCAGAAACCTTGCTTATGACATACCTGCTACCAATAAACAACCTAAGGTAACTAGCTGTAGTTGTTCACGCTGAATACTGTGATTATCCATGAAATAATCTAACAGGTATATAGAAAGGTGTTGGACTGGGGTTGATAGATTTCGTCTTTTACAAATGTCAACCAACCAATCAACAAGAAATTGACGAAAATGAAGCTGAGGAGATTGTGCATGAAAGACTGCTCGCTGCTGTTCTTTAGCTCGAAGGTGGTCATGGATTTCTTCCTCATATTCAGTCAGCCACCAATCCTCTGTGATTGACATTGAATTCCTAGCTTGGGATGATTAAAAAAAAGGAAATGTATTGAAATCTTTCTATTTATGAGACCAAATATAAGGGTAAGTTTTATTGGAATTTGATTTAATAACCAAGTATTAAGTTATATTTTACATACCATGAGGTACTGGACTAACTAAGAAATGAAAATGTAACAATTAATGAAGCAATATAAATAAACTGTAAAAAACGTCACTTGAAAAAATAGTTTTGGATTCAACAAAATAAAATTGAAGTCACTTCTTCCAATGTATCAAAACAAGTAATTCCAATTAAAGTAATCTCATTTCAACAAGGAATATATATATATAAACTTGCTTTATTTACACAACTGAATAATTATATAGAAGTAAAACAAACTTGCATATTCAATGAATACTGACTGAGCCAAGTGATAGTAGTTAAAATTAGATGCAATTAAAAGTTATCCAATAACCTCTCTATTACCTTATCATAAATGATTCACAATTCTGATTTTCCAATTTTCGTATTCAAACGAAATTTAAAATTTTTTAATCTTTTAACAAAAAATTTGTGAATATTTAAGGCTTTTATAAATATACCAGAATAGGCAGATATGTATATACCTTTGAAATGTTTAGCTAAACAGTCTATGTATGCAAATCTTTGAAGCAAACATTTATCAATTTTACATTAAGTTTTGGCAAATATTTAAAGATCTAGGGAGAATTTTTCATTACTAGATATTGATCAATGACAAACTTCCATAACAATGCAAATTCAATGCATATAAATCTCAAAGATCCAAGTTGTAAAATATCAAGTTGACATTATTAAGTAATCCAAGTTTAGAAACTTTACAAAATATACATTAAGATTCAAAGTAAAAATATTCATAAGTATACATTCACCTTTCATAAACTACTAAGAGTATAATCTTTACATCACTATCATTATACATAGCATTTAAAAATACCTACACATGAAAAAAGTCAACATTTTTGAGCTATATTATTTATATATACATAAACCCTTTGTCAAATCTTTACTGATACAATTAAGTATGTGCATTACCATGGAGAAGCTATACGGAATACACTTTTTATTAATGTCAAAATTTGAATGAGTTAGAAAATAGCATGTAAGCTACTTTACATGTGTATAATCATATAATTTTCCAACTACTTTTTGCAAAACAATCTTATCACAGTTTTGAATTTTCTAACATTTCCTTGTAACCTATTTTATGATATAAGATGGAACTTGCACTAGTACATTATTTACAATAGTCCCACTGATGGAATTGTTTGGATTTCAATTCTTTGAAATATCTATAAAGAATGATTACAAGAGGCTATTTATATCAACCTTTCCCCATACAAGGTTATTTTGATCATACATGGACAAGCTGTCTGGGTCAGAAAGAAAAAGCTTAGAGTTCACCACTATCCACATTTTGCATGTTTTATGGCTGCTTCCAGGCCAGGTTTAAGATACAAAGAATTGAAAAAAAAAAGATAATGCTCAACATTATACCAGATATGAAGTTAATGTACCTATCATTCAGCTTCAGAGAAGAGCTGGTTGATTAACTCTCTTACCCATGAGCATTGTTTAATCATGTAAAATAACTGATTAATCAAAATTATTACATCAGTTAATGTCACGAAAATAATTAACTAATCAAAATCAGTGTTTCCAATCATAACTCTTTTCTATTTTTCAAACTATCAAGGTAATAAAAATATTGCCATGATTTCTCATTATTGCTTGTGATTAATTCAAAGTTGTTCAGCTTAATCTATTAGTATCACAACTCACAAAAATAGTCAAACAATCAGTCTGAGTGAAATGTGATATCATGCTAAAAATAAAAAAATACTTCTTTACATGTTACAGCTTTCATATTTCATTTTGCATAATCTCTAGAGCCTCTTAAGTGAAAATAAGTTTTTTCACATCCGTTTCCTTGCAGTAATCCTTGCATCAAAAGCAATAAAACTGTTTTCTGTAGAGCTAGTGTAAACACCATGCAATAGCTAAATATAATTTTTCACAGAGCACTTGAGCTTGTGAAATTTTATGTTACTGAAGTTTTGTTAGGCTAAGCTGAGAAGTTTGAAATGTTTATATTTTAGATATTTTTGTTAAAACTATAACTATAAATATAATATATACATAAAATTAAGAATTTGCAGAACTAACTGCATACTCAAGCTCTGTTATACTTGAATCAAATTTTTAGGTGTTCTTCAGTAAGCCTTGTTGAATCTTGTGACATTTGAACATATTACATGTTTCTATTTTTTTGTAGTGTAGTGATATTCATTCTGAATCTATTCTTTGTTCTGAATATGTGCAGGTTTCACATGACACGTGGTTGAGAAAACCTTTAAGTTGATCTTGCTTCAAGTTACATTTGTTGTTTTTGAAGTAGGTAATACCTGTTACTGTTCATGGAGAACATTGTTTAGAACAAAAGTGTGTAAGAATGTTGACAGCAGTGTTCTTCAATAGTTGTTCAGGTGATATCTAGAGGTTAAAGCCCCATCTATAGTGTAATAAGAATGATCAGTCATGCGGGTAGTGTAGGTTGCACTGGATAAAGGCAAGATTTTCTTGAAGCTAAGAAACTTTGGATTTAGCAATCTGGTAGATAATCTAGACCTGAGAGGACATCTGATATCTTAAGTACACTGCAAGTGCAGTTGTGTTTATACGTAATAAAGATTGTAATTTTGTCCTACACTTGTGTCTAGGCCCATGATTTTGTTTAACATTGAATTATGTAAGAGTCTTGATAATACTGTGCAATCAATATCCTGATTTAATTTCCAGTTATTAAGTGGACTTTTTTGACAGCTTATACTCATTTCTATCTGGATATATTATATAGTCACAAGTTTGGGTGTTGAAAGAATTCATTTAGCTTTCAGACATGCATTTCAGAACAAAAAATATATCACTCACTAGAATATATGTCTCAAAACTAGTCTAATTTATCCATGTTCCTAAAAAGCAACGGGCAGATTAAAAAAATTCATTGACATTTAGATCACCACATAATAAGCATTTCTGCTAACTAACAGTATACAGTGTAAAAACTAAATAATAACTAAGAGTTATGCAGAGGAAAAACTGCTCTTTCTATTGATTATGAACATGTCAATCAGCCATGTAAACTTGATTACTAAACAATCTTGATGATCAGAGGGAGAGAGGGAAGGGATTGACAAATATATTGATATTGCAGCAAATCAAGAAGGAATGAGATTCAAAATTTTAGATTCTTGCTTTTAATTATGTTTAACTGTGTTTCTAATTAGTTGAAAATTTCTAACGTATGAAAATTCTGAAATGGAGAAATCAGAGCTGAATAATATGACACAGAAAATGAAGGTTGAGAATTTGAATATTTCTTTTTGAAATTAAGATGTAATATGCATGCACTAAGATAACAGCCAGTCAGACTGACCAGCATCTTCTGTCTGTCAGTAAACTCAATTTTAAAACAGTCTCTGAATGGTATTTACTGGTTAATGAAAATACTGAATGGGCCCAATGATTATCTAATTAACAAATTCAACTAATTACCTAGCTCTTTTTGGAGTTCTTGAAATCAAACAGTTGCCAAAGTTGATGAAATGAGGCCATTAAGTTATCCCACTTTGCAATATGACTGATGCACCTATATTACATATATATCCTCTTTCTTCCCATTATGAAAAATCACCATGGTTGACCCAAAATTCTAGACAAACTTCTATATCTAGGATGTTTCCATGATTTCAACTTTGTAATAACTTTTTTAACCATGTGAAAAGAAAAAGATTCCATCTTAAAATAACAATGTTAGAGTTTTTCTTTTCTAATAAACAATAATACTTATATCTATCACTATATGATACAAAAGTTTTTTTCCACTACTGCAGGATTCAGGGGTGGGAGTAGCAAAGTAGCTAAGACTAAAAAAATGTTAGTCCATTACATTTTTCTCTAGAATCTAAATGTTTCCCCATTTTGTTTCAACCTAGACAAACTTAATTTTGCTATTCAGACTACTATGTTTACTACATTTAGCAGTTGGCATTCTTACATAACAAATACAAGAAATATGCATTTCATTATGAAATTTACAGGAACAAATGCACACAGGGGCACAATAGTATCACAAACACACTATATTACATTTAACATTTAAAATGTAACCATTTAATGAATATATCAAAATATTCTTTAATGTGCTGCTCAATTCTCTTTTAATCCTTTGCTGACTCATGTATCTGTGTTTTATAAATTCATAAAATTTTAAAAGGACAAAAAAAGGAGCTTATTAGCTCATCAAGGATGTCCCTTCCAGCTTCCAACTATAACCACCCCTTACTACTCATGTATTCATCCAATCTCTTCTTGAACTCAGTTAAATTTTCTTCTTCCACTGCCCTTGAAGGCAGCTCATTCCAAAAAGCAAACCACTCTGTTTTAAAAGTAATACTGTCTAAACTGCAGAAGACTCCTATGCTGCTAAAATTTGAATTTATGACCCCTTATCCTATTGTTTTTCACTACTAAACACATAAAAGTTTGATGGATCTATATTATCAATACCCTTAATAATCTTAAACACCTCAATCAAATCCCCTTTGACCTCTTTCCTCTCCAGAGAAAACAAGTTTAAAAATTTTAATCTCTCCTCATAGGATAATCCCATCATCCCAAGTATCATTCTAGTGGCTCTACTCTGAACCTTCTCCAACAATTCAATGCCCTTCTTGAGGAAGGGAGCCCAAAACTGTACACAGTACTCTAATTAAGGCCTTACATCAAGAATAATGGCAAAAAACAAATGGTGTTCACTAACATACAAATAACTTGAAGTATGCTATTTGATTTGTTGTGCTTATCCTCCTTGTGGATGTTTTAACACCTGGAAGTGTTTGATTAATTTAGTTGTGCTATGAATAATTTTCTGTCATTCAACTTCAGTATGGTGATTATGAAACACCATTTTTGCCATTGCTTCTACAGTTCAGACAGCAGCTACAAAAAATGCAAAAGACATAGTCTGAAATGTCAGTTTTTCATAGCCACTCTACATGTGGTCTAATTAGTCCATCTCTTTCATCAAACCACTTCACACATAATTTGTTTTTCACATCTTTATCAATTAGTTGTATATCATTTCCAAGATTCACGAATAGTAGCATTTCAATGAAGCACAGTTTCTAGTAGACTTACACAAGCTAACTTACAGCAACACAGTCAAAGAAAATGTAGGTATGGAAAACCTCAATATGAGACTGCTTACAAATGCAAATTGATTTAGCCATGTAGTAATCCTATATGAAAGTACAAATAATAATGATTTATCATCCACAACATACACTTTTCATATGAAGCTACATCACTAATATTTTTTCACTGTTTGCAAAAGAATATTACGATAGAAACTTCCCATCTCTGAGAATGTTTTGTAATTATCTTAAGATACATTAGGCAGTTTTTCTCATTAGGTCTGAAATGACATTGAAATTGCCAAGTGCATTTTTCTCTCCAGAGAAACTGTCTGCTCCTAATTTCTATATACTAAAAACATTTATTTTAAACTATGGCACCACGATTAAGCTGAAAAGTGAAATATTCTATTTAAATCTTGTTGTTAGATTCAGGGGGATATTGTTAGTAATGTTTTACAAGTGCATTTGATTACAATGTAATAGCATTAGAACCTTTGTTGTTTTATGTAGGCCAGAAGTAAAATAAGCAGATAGTCTACTTTAGGAAATTCCATTTCAAGAAACTGCAATATAAGAGACTGGCCTAAAACGTAGAAGCTGGTATTCATATACAATTTCTAACTAGAGCAACAAAGGGTTTCCTTTACCACTCATTAACAAATAATAATTTTTCCATTCTTTACATAAATTATCACCTTCCTATTCTTTAATACTTTACCAATTTTATTGATCTTTAGCTTTAGGATTAGATATCGTTGACTAATTTATTCATTTACTTTCAAAAAAAAAAAGAAGATATTTCTCACAATGTCTGACAGAAAGCTTAGTTTTTTTTGACAAAGATGAAAAAGTTTGTATTAAGTTCTGTGTAACATCCTTCTTCAGTGAATTTATACATATTCCAAGGGGAGGTACATAGATTTGTATGGGTGAGTATGAATTGGGGTTGATCTCCCTTAAATAAGTTTAATGGGAATGATAACTGACAGATGTAATCTAATGAATGTGGAATATCACAGTAGGGCTCTGCTCTGACTTGAAAATGTGTTATTTTGCTATTTTTGTTGTGGTCCATATCTTATTCTGGATCTCATCCATCACTGTCTTTTGAGGACATTTCTTCTTGGTCTTGTCTTTGTCCAATGCATATGTTTTGCTACCTATCTACCTACCTGTTCTATACTACAGCAGCCAATTTTAAGCCTTTAACTCAAAATATAGAGGCCTGACAATGTGCTACAGTGTTGTATGAATAAAGATTTTGTTTGTTTAAACACTTGTGTTCATTTGTATTTCTTCTGCTGTCTGTTCATTTTATTCTCTGTAAGACACTTCAAGAATGTGCATTTGATACTTTCCTGACAAATATCAATGTAGCTGAATACCAAACTAATAATGAAAAAAAAGCATCCTATATTTCTTTAGAACTTGGCCAGGACAACCTTAATAAGTGGGCAAGAATTTTTTTTTTCAGTATTTAGAAGGAAGAGAACATTGATATGTTTTAAGTGTGAATTGTGATAGAAGCTTGAAATATTTAGCTGTTTGTTTACAGTGAATATATTTAACAGAGATCTCAGATTTATTTAAAAGAATTTTGCATTTATGAAAAAAGAAAGTTACTTTCTACTTGTACTAGTTCTAGTTTTCTTACTATATAACAGATATGGGCATAATGTACATATGTACATAACTTGAGTTAAAAGAGGTTTATAGACTTGAAGTTGTTTTTGCTGTAGTATAGACGAGAAAGAGTTACTGGAATCATATTTGATATTGCACACTTACGAATCTTTCAGGGTGTTGAAGTAGTATGATTCAAAGGAGAGGTGTTAATATTAAATATTAATTTTCATTTTCATAATATTCATTTCTGAAAAATGAATCAAGTTGTGCTTAGTCTGTGAGAATACATAGAAGGCAGACAAAGCAGATGCAAAACATCGATATCGGGTGTAACTTGTACACAAATCATTCAACTACATACATATACGTTACTGTGGGCAGTAATATTTACAAATTTGATTAAGCATGGAGAAGTAGATTCTATGAAGAATATTTCTTTTAATCCAGAATAACCGGGCTAGTACTAGTGAATGGGTAGAAATGTGGAAAACTGGCTAAAATGATTATAGAAGGTGATCCACTTAGACTGTAGATATTTGGAAAGGACTTATTTCTTAAATAAGAAAACAAATTTTGTGTGATTATCAATAAATGTTTTAAACATTAGACTAAGTGTTTGGCTGTGATTCAAATACTGAAAGAGTTTAGGATTTACTTTAAAAAAATTATAAATCTTAGAGTAAAAATATAACTAACTTTATATACAAAATTTTTTAAAAGGTTTCATAGTAGTATGCATTTTGGTAAGAGTTCCATATGGCACCCCCACTCAATTTAAAAAAAAATTCATCCAGGTAATATTTATGTATTAATAAATCATATTAATAG